ACAAGCAAGTATACAACAAGAAGTATACCAAATGATTATACAGCATAAAGAGGTCTATGCTGCGGTAGTAGAGACACTGTTAAATGAAATAGCTAATCAAATAGCACAAATACATGAAATCTCTAAACTAAGAGAATGGGCAGAAGATACATTCCAAGAAGAAACACTCCAAGAAGAATAGTCTAAAGGAAAAGACCAAAAGACCAAGAATTAAAAGAATACAGAAATCAATATGAGGGACCAGAATCATCAGGAATGACAATTCTATTGGGAATGGAATTTGATGACACAGAAGTAACATTAATTGCAGAACAAGTACAATGAATAACAGTTGCAGCAGAACATGAAGCACTACAAAATAAACAAGAAAAGAAATTAAATCAACTCTATCTGGAAGCCACACAAAGAGAAATAAATCAATTCAGAGAACAAGTAATAGGAAAAGACAGTACTTAAAAAGATAAAAAAGGAAAATCTAAAAGCTTAAATATCACCTTTAATCAACAAGAAGGAAGCAAAGTCAAAAAACCAAAAATGGGAATATTCATTAAAACACAATTGTCACAATTAGATCGAATCTTATAATTAGAAAAGGAACAAGAAGATCCAAGAATCAGAACAGGATTAAGAAAACTAAAACAATGATTAGGCAGTATGAAAACAAATTATAAATACATTTTCAAATTAACAAAACAACAAACTGATGAACATATTCAAGAAATTGAAAAAGTCACAAATAGAAAAATATTGGAAGCAGAAACAGCTGAAGATAAAAAAGCTTATCTATACAAAACAATATCTGCATTAACAGAAACAAAAGATGCTATTCTTTGGAAAAATAGAGACCTGGTAAAAGACCTAGAAGAAGAATATAATTATGCAACTAATCAAGTATTAAACTTAAACAGAAAAGATTTTGAAGCAATGCAAAAGTATGAACAATGAATCTTAATAGAAAGATTTGCCAGACAAATAGAACTATGTGAAAGTGAACCAATATGAAGACAATACCAAGCAAAATATAGAGAACTATTGAGAGTATCTCTAGAAAATTTAGATAAAATGTATGACAATGAAGACGAAGAAAAGCAAATGTTCCAAGAACAATTACGAGCCAGAAGAAAAGGCTTAGAATTATCAGAAATATTACCATCAAAACATCCATATCATGAAGAATATTGACCAACAATAAATAAACTACAAGAAACAAAACAACTGGCAGATAGATAGTTACTAGACGAAAATTTCAGATGAACATTAGAATGGTTGAATAAACAAGATAAAAATTAATATTCAAAAATATCAGAACAAACAATATCAAGAACTACAACAAGACCAAATTCACTGACATCACCAATCTTCCTTAATAAAGCAAAAGAAATGGTACAGGGCACATTAAATACAGCGCAACAGATGTTAAGTAGAAGAAATTCAATGCAATCTACACAATCATCTTACTCTAAACAATAACATAAATCATCACCACTAATAAAACCAACTGATATAATATCAAAATCAAGTAGTCTTTACGCACCAACAAGCAACAATGATGATAATCAACCAGTATCACCAATACCACCAAAATATGGTCATAAAAGACAAAGGTCACAACTCTCAAATC